AAAATGCCACCAAAAGACTTCTATATTTAATAGCCAAATTCAGCCACATAGCTGGATACAAAGTCAACACTCAGAAATCAATAGCATTCCTGTACAGAAATAACAAACTCACTGAGACAGAAATTTGGGAAACCACACCTTTCATAAGAGAATTGAAAAAAGGGAAATACTTAGGAAGAAATTTAACATAGGAAGTAAAAGATCTTAATATTGAAAACTACAGTACTCTGAAAAAGGAGATCAAAGAGCATATCAGAAAATGGAAAGATGTCCATTACTCTTATGTAGGAAAAACCAACATAGTGAAATTGGCCATACTCTCAAAACTGTTATATATATTTAATGGAATCCCAATCAAAATACCAATAGCACACCTCACATAATTAGAGAAAACATTCCTAAAATTCATCTGGAACCAGAAGAGCTCTAGAATAGAAAAACAATTCTGGGCAACAAAGGCAAGGCAGGGGGCATCACAATCCCTGACTTGAAATTATACTACAGAGTTACTGTGATAAGAATAGCATGGTACTGGCAAAACAAAACAAAACAAACAAACAACAACAACAACAAGAAAAACAGACCCAAGGATAAATGGAACAGATTAGAAGATGCAGAAGCAATCCCAAACACAGTCAGCCACCTTATCTTTGACAAAGGAGCCAAACATCTTCACTGAAAGAAAGACAGCCTCCTTAATAAACGGTGCTGGAAAAACTGGCTTTCCACATGCCAAAGACTAAAATTAGACCCAGGTCTGTCATCATGCACTAAACTAAAATCAAGAGGAATCAAAGATCTAAATATTAAAACATAAATATGAAATCTGCTGTAAGAGAGAATAGGTAGAACTCTTGAAGACATAGGTGTAGGCAAAGACTTTATGAACAAAACTCAAACTGCACATAAGCATTATAAAGAATCAACAACTGGGATTTCATCTTATTAAAAAGATTTTGCATAGCAAAGGAAATCACCAACAGAGTTAACAGACAACCCACAGAGTGGGAAAAAATTTTAACCAGTTGTTCCTCACACAAAGACTACTATCTAGAATATATAAAGAGCTAAAAAAATCAGACCCCCCAAATTTAAAGACCCAACTCAAAAATGGGCATCTGAAATGAATAGACATTTCTCAGATGAAGTAGAAACAGCAAATAAATACACGAAAAAATGTTCAACATCACTGGTCATTTGAGAGATGCAAATGAAAACAATGCTAAGATTCCATCTCACTCCAGAAAGAATGGCTGCTATCATGAAATCAACCAATAACAAATGCTGGTGGGGGTGTGCGGAAAGAGGAACCCTGCTCCACTGCTGGTGGGAGTGTAGACTGGTGCGACCACTGTGGAAATCAGTGTGAAGTTTCCTCAAAACACTAGGACTAGAGGTTCCATTTGACCCAGCTATTTCTCTTGTCGGTATCTTCCCAATTAAAAGCATCATACCAAGGTGATATATGCACACTCATGTTTTTAGCAACACAGTTTGTAATAGCTAAATCTTGGAAACAACCCAAATGCCTATCAACTGATTAATGGGTAAAGAAGATGTAGGTTTTTTTATACAGTGGAGCACCACTCAGTCACAAAGAAGGATAAACTTGAGACACTGCTAGGTGAATGGATGCACATTGAGGCTATACTCTTAAGTGAAATAAATAGGACACATATGTGTAAATACTGAATGGTTTCTCTAGTGTGAGAAACTGAAAGTATAAACAAGGGCCAAAATGTCTAATTTATACTGTAGAATAGGAAGAAAATGTTCAAATGGGAAGGGGAACTAGGGAAAGTAAGGGAAAAGAAAAAAATGAGAAAAGAAGGATAAAATGGAAACAAAGCTTTTGTAAATAAGAAGGAAAAGGGGTTGAAGGGAGGAGCTGGAAATGGGAAAAAGAGAAGAATTAAGATATATCATGTACAGGTACAAATTCTTTATGATGATCATTATGTATATCTAAATTGTACCGATGAATTTAGGTAATTTTTTTAAAAAACCCTGAAATTTCTGTGAAAATCTCTTATCTCAGGCTACTTTAATCCCTCAAGCTCCTCTGGACTAGGTCCTCTCCTTGTCTGTTCTTTAGCTTTCCCATTAATTCTGTTATTTTTCCCAAATCCTCAGAATGAATTCCCTTTTTGCTTAATTTAGCCATAGGCAGTTTCTGTGGATTGCAACCAAAAAATTCTATTTGATATATTTACATATATTCAAACTATATTTAACACTTACAACTTTATAGGTAAAATAACAAACCATTTTATAGATAAGGAAACCAATTCTCAGAAGTTAATTTATTCTTAGTTGTATAAGAGGTAACAGTAAAACTGAAATTTAAATTTGTATTTATTAGAAGTTATGTCTTTCTTCTTCATCTTGTCACTAGAAAAGCTTAGAAGTCCCTTCTTTGGGGCGACATGTTGCTTGACTTTAAGAGATATCACCCTAAAACACCGCTCAGTGCTCCATTTCCTAGAAATATCCACCCATCTTCTCATGCAACAAATATCTGAATACTTGATAGAGTCAAAGTGCAACACTAAAGATGGTAAATAACAAGGTGGGCACATCAGGCCTTCCTAAAAGTCGCTCATATTTCTTTGGGATGCTGATTATTCACTTTATAGACAATAATATAATCATTTAAATTTAAGCAATATGAGGAAAATCCAGAACATAATAAGGAAGCCATATGGTTCATACAGGATAAGAATAATGCAGCTCATTAAATTAGAAATAGTTTCCACTTGATTTAAGCCTTCAGTGGAGTAATTCATTGCAATGACTTCTAGAGACACAGAGAGAAAACACTGTTAATTCAAGTCTTTAAAATAAACAAGCGATGATGAAGTAAGCTAATTTTCTACATTCAATCATCTGCATGCCACCCTCAAGATTTCCGCTGGATCTGTGTATCAGTTAGCATTTTCTTAAATTAGTTTCTATTTATTGGTTTGAAAATATTTTAAAGGAAACTTTATATTGCTACATTAAAGAAAAGCCAATAGATAACACTTTCCATAAATAGAAAGTAACTACAAAAATGCAAAAAATGAAACAAAGGTTATGCATCTTAAGTAGATACCATAGCAATGAAAAGCTCTGAGCCTGCAGTCGATCCGCTCTTTGTTCCAAAGGAAGACTAGCAGCTGCTGGACAGGTGTTAAAGACCTACTAGTTCCAAACTAATCTTTCTCATGGAAATAATGAGAAGGACTGAAACAAAACCTGAGTGGAAGTAATTTTGTGACATCTGCTAAAATGTACTAACCACTTCCCATGTGTCAGCTATTGTGCTGAGCACTGAAGACTCATTTCAGGAAAGTAGTGAAGACAACTGTATGAGAGAACTGTAAAGGAGTGAAAATATTATAATATACACTATATGTAGACCAGTAGGGAAAGGTGCCATTTTTAAGTCACAAGAGGGGCCCTGTTTCAGGATTTCTAGAAGGTGTACTGCCCACTGTATGCTGTGTTTGATTTCTCCTTTCCTTTGGTGAACATCAGTTGACAAATAGCAATCTCATAAGGAATGGAAATCTGGGAGGTACTTGAAGAACAGGACACAGTAGCAAAATGTGCTACGATGTGGACTGAATAAAGGGTGAACCAGAAAGAATGTTATAGACTTGTCTAATCCTTTCTTTTATAAGACAGGCCCATGATTCCTTAAAATTAGAGGCTAAATTAAGATCTAAATTGGACCTCCCAAAGTCCCATCCAATAATCTTTATAACTTACTATTTTCAGAGTCAAGGGTATTCACATTGGCTCCCAAAAGATATCTAGAGCATTCTCAATGATTCTCAGTTCCAAGAAGAAAGGAAGGAAAGAGGGAGGGAGGGAAAAGAAAAGGAGGGAAGAAGAGAGGGATGAAAGGAGGGAGGGAGGAAAATTCTTGTGTGGTCGATCATTTCCACATTTTTAAAAAGGTTGAAAGGGAAGACATTTAGCATAAGACAAATGTATATTATGTCATCTAAGTAAGCCTCTGTAATGAGCAATGTTAGAAGACTCACTGAGAAACACTTATACAAAAATAAGCATGAAAGCATGAACCGCTTACTGTGGTTCTCAAAACAGCTTCCAAGGTGACCGACACAAAGCATTTTCTGTAGATGCTACAGTTTAACATGCAACAGGCATGTTTTATGTTTTCTTGCAATGCTCTTTGGCACATTACTGAAACTTTCTTTAAATATGGAAACAGGAGGCAAGAGGAAACCTTAGAATATTTCCCAGCCATCCCTGCCTTTTGTAAATGGGTAGTTTATTTTATTGCCTCATTCTTCTTAACATTTGCACAGTTTTGAAACTAAGCATGAGGGAATTTACAGTTTCCTCCATTTTTCAAGGTTGATAATCACTGTGGCATATTAGGTAAGAAGGAAAGCCTAAAGTATTTTTTTTAACCTCACAGATAGATTATCAGCATAGAATTTGGGAATGGAGGACAGTAGTTTTTGTGAAATAAGTAGCTTGCTGAATTCTCCCGTACAGGATTCTGTGATAGATGAGATACAAATCATTGTTTCAGCTGTACTGTATTCCATTTTTTCCTGGTTTTTGTTTGTTTTTGAGACAGGGTCTCGCTATGTAGCCCAGGCTGGCCTCAAGCCTGCAGTGATCCCTCTGCCTCAGCCTCCTGAGTGCTGGGACTGCAGCTGTGTGCCACCACGGCTGGCTCCTTCCTGGTTTTGGCTAGTAAATAACAGTTGATATTCTAATGGTGTTCTTTTTCAGAATTAGAAGCAATGTCACATTTTACTAACCAATGACACAGTTTAGTAAGGCATCTTGTTCAGACTTCAGTTTCATTAAAGGTTCCCCCAGGGAATCTAAAACATATTGCTTTGAAATTGAAAACTATAGATGATCTTGTATCTGATTTCTTACAATTCAAAGGTTTCAGTGACCGATCTGGGACACAGCTGCAGGCTAAGCCCCAAGTCCGAGCCTTTCCTGGGAGCGAAGACTGGTGACCATACCTGTGCAGCTTCAGAGTGACAGTCCCGTACACAGTGGCAAAACCCAGAAGGCGGGCCCATCTCAGGAGGACACAGCGGAGTGTGCTTGGCTCAAAGTACAAAATAACAACCTGTGGGTGCAGACAGAAAGAAAGAGGCCTTTAGGGTCAGCTGACGACACAGACTACAGCCAGTACTTCATGAGCTGATTGTTTTATATATGTGCATTTTGATCTAAGCATACACGCTTTCAAATCATTATTTGAAATGTTACTTTGCTCATTGTTCAGATCGAAGAATTAGAGACTCTATTACTTTCATTAGAATATGAATTCTTTAATTCTAACATGGAGGAGCCTCTGTCAACTAAGTCTTTAGTGGGTGCAAATTTCCCTCTCCTCACTTCCCTGCACAGGCCGGCCGGGGGGCTGGTTCCCACTGCGGTGAGCCCACGCGTCCCACCTCCACGTGTAGCCCTACCTTTCCCGGTCTGAGAGCCCTAACTAGATCACTTCTCTCACACTGCACGCCCCGACACAGAGAGGCAGGCAGGCCGTTCTTGGGACTGGAGGAGAGGGGCAGTGTTAGCCCTGCCCCACAGCTGCCAGCGGTGCCCAAAAGTGTCACTCAGGGTGGGAGGAGCGGTGTGCTTTCTGTCAGGATGAAACAATAACACCACTGCTTCCCGGACTATTTGGAAGTGTAATGTAACAGAATGGAGCAAACAGTCAAAACCAGTTAGTGAATATTGAGTATTGAATAGTTATTAGAAGAGTTGATTTATTTGTTCTTTGTTCCAAAAGTTACCTTTTTCATAGCAGTATAATTATACACCATTATTTCAATGAATTATTTTCTGATCACTTCAGTCATCCTTCTTTTAAATTCCTTTAGTCACTTTTTGACTGGGTACCTTTTATACCATATCTCATATTATAGTTACGGTTGTGTCTATGACTCAAAATGTAAAACTGGAGAAGGCCATGCTTTTCTATATATTTCATATGCTTTACAAACGGAAAATGTATATGGATTAAATATTTACTCAATGATATATCTCAGCTAATTTTTAAAAGAAAACATTATCTTCAAAATGCAACTATTTTTTTTTTAAGTAGGAAGATATTTATTGATAGGAAAGCTCCTGGGGGGCAGGAGGGGTCCCGAGTGGGCAGCCTGGGACCCCACTTTACAGAGGAGTTTAGAGGGTGAAACCCACATGGGTACAGGTGGGCCCCAGCCGTGATCATCCACTAAGGTCACAGGTGCAGTCACTCAGGTGATGGTGGCCGGTTGGGAAGCGAGTCACATTGCAGGCACACGAGGATTTTCAGTAAGGGTGGGGGTCAGGGATATTTCCTGGAGAGGCTGGGTTAAGAACTTGACCCCCCCACCCAGGTGATTGATACCTATTTAGAATATAGATCACTGCTATTTATCCCCAGGGGAAGCACAAGGGTGTGTAGTTTCTCTCCTTTTACAATTCTGGCCTTCAGTGAATGTGCCTTGGGCCACAATTGTCCTCCATGCAGAAGGCCCAGCCCTGTATAACCAACCAGCTGTAATTTCTATATCTAACTTCGCTGTCTACAATACCAAGAGCCCCCATAACCTTCCAGCGAATCCCCTTGGCTTGGGTTGGTCTGTCCCTTTCTGTGCGTACAGCCAGGAAGTCTAATTGATGTGGTGCTGTGGTGTGTTTCACCTTTGTCCTGGCCTTCTCCAGGACTTAGCCCTATTTGCCTGCCTATAATATTTCTACCTAGCTCATCTATCTATAATATTCCCCCCTCTGAAGAAGTATTTTGAACTGCCATGAGGGGGTAAGGGGCAATGACTGCTCGAGCTACTTCAGGCTGAAGGGTGTCGTTGTTGTGGTTGACAGTCAGGGATACCCTTCAGAAGGTCTATCTAAAGGTCCTCCATAGGTGTCACACATTTCCATCATGGGTAGGCGTATAGCTTTGAGTCTGGAGGAGACAAGGCCAGAAAGACAGTTAAGTATACATGGGCCGAACAATAAGATCAACAGAAATATTATGAGTATAGCCCACAGATGTTTCCACCAGGAAGAGCTAGCAATAGCCTTCCACAGGGAGGATAAGGAGAAGTCCCAGGGAACTTCAGAATCCATCATAGAAGTCATTCAGCAGTTATGAGTTGTTTACAAGGTCAATCTGGTGGATCCCGGTAAAGAATCCTAGCACTTTCGTCAGATGGAGGTGTTTCACTAAAAGACTATTCCATACTAAGATGGACATGTAAGTGTTACAAAGAAAATATCATCATGATTGTCATGCTAAAATACTATGTGTAGCTCTTGATCTTAAGTTTCTCTATAATACATAACTGTTGTCTGTTAACATTCTGCAGGGATTCAACTACTAAAACCACCATGGTTGGTAAGAAATAACAGCCCTCTAACTGTTCTTTATACTTCAAAAGTGCTTGATGTTTTAACTATTATAATAGTTAAGCTCACTGCTCCTACTGAAATACTTATGTCACTGATCTTCTCTTCTGGGTGTTCAACAACTAAAGTTTGGAGACTAAAACTAGAAAGGTAACTGGGCTATGAGGACAGCCAATATTTTGGCCCTGGCCCATCAAGGTCAACAAAAATGCAGGACATGTGGGAACCTTTTCTACAGAATCCTACATCTTTGGTAAGTCACTCAACCTCCTCTGCAGGGCGATTGCTGGGCACTAAAATACAACATTTGATGGACTTATCAGATACCTACAGAGTGTCAGCAACATCTCACATAACTTTCTCCAAAATGAGCCATATTTTCAGTCATAGAATAAGCCTTAAAAAAACAGCAAGCAGTTTGTGAAATGATCTCATGCATCCTGTCAGATCACAATGGAATGAAGCTAGAAACCAATAACAAAAGGAACCATAGAAACTCCACAATCATATGGAGCTTGAATAAAACACTTTTTAATGATTGTGAGTCATTGGCGATATTAAAGGAGAAATGTAAAAATTCCCAGAATCAAATGATAATAGAAACACAATGTATCAGAATCGGTGGGACACAATGAAAGCATTCTAGGAGGGAAATTTATATGGCACATTAGAAAAGCAGAGTGATCCCAAATAAACAACCTAATGATAACGATGCATTTCAAGGTCCTAGAAAAAAGATCAAACCTAAAGGCCGTAGAAGGAAAGAAATAATAAACATCAGAACAGAGTTAATGAAATGGAGACTAAACAAAACAAAGAATCAATGAATCAAAAAATTGGTTCTTTGAAAAGATAAACAAGACTGATAAATCTTTAGCCAAACTTAACAAAATCAAGTGAAAAAAAAATCCTAAATTAACAAAATTAGAGACAATAAAGGCTAAATTACAATCAACACCACTGATCCAGAGGATTATTAGAAATTATTTTAAAAACTTATATTCCAATAAGTTGAGAAATGTAGAAGAAATGGATAAGTTCCACGTGATTTCCCCAAATTGAATCTCAAAGATATAAAAACATAAACAGATCAATAACAAGTAGTAAAATTAAAATAGTAATAAGTACTCTCCCAACTAGGTAAATCCAAGGACCCCACTGATCTTCTGCTGAATTTTATCAGACTTTACAGAAGAATTAACATCAATGCTCCTCAGACTTTTCCACAAAATAAAGGAAAGGGATGCTTCCAAATTCTTTCTATGAGAAGCCAGCATCACCCTCATACTGAGACCAGATAAGAACTCAACAAAAAAAGAAAACTACAGACCAATATCCTTGCAGAACATGGATGCAAACATGCTCAATAAGATTCCTGCAAACAGAACTCAACAACACAGAAAAAAGATCATACACCATGATCAGGTTGGTTTCCTCCCAGGAATAGAAGGCTGGTTTAACATATATAAATCAATAAACATAATACACTACATAAATAAAACTGAGGCTAAAAGAACCATATGGTCATCATAATAAACGCCAAAAGAAAAAACCCACTGAAAAATTCAACTTTTCTTTATGATTAAAAAAAAAGTCCCCAAAGAAAATAGCTATATATGACAAACCCATAATCAACATCATACTAAATGGGGGGAGATGGAAGCGTTTCTTTTGCTTTGTCTACTTCCATGAAACTGATGCCGAGAGTCAGTGGAAAGGGCTTACTGAATAATCTGCTGAATGAAAGAAAAAAATAAAGCTACGGGGAGAAGGTACAGCTGAGCATAACTAATGTGTGAGGCAGGGAACTTGATCATTCATGGGAAGAGAAGAAGGAAGATGCTGAATCAAGGAAACACCAGGCAGCTGATCATCTGTTGAGGCAGAAAAGAATCAAATGTCAAAGACACGTGAACATTTTAAGCCCGGGCGATTTGGAGAAGGGTCATCTGGCTTGAAATGAAACAGAAAAAAGGAAAGGATGTGTGAGTTTGAGGAAAATGGTGGCACAGTGATACCCCGGTTCTCAGTGGCACCAAGATCGAGCTTTCCACTACTCAAACAGTGAAGTTTGAAACATATCTGCTCAGGGTTTGTAACTGTGCTCCACAGTCAAAGCAAAACTCTGACCTGCAAAAACCTGTATGGGCTGAGAGTGATCAGACCACAGCCTGCTGCAGACACAGTGGTGACGCTGCCGTCAAAGCGCCACCCTCAGCCAGACAACATACAGGGCCTGTGCGATGCCTGGGCCTCAGAACCAATGCTGTGGTCCCCTTATTTCTTATGGGAAAAGTATGCTCAGTTCTCCAACTTTTCAGGGTTCGAACCTGAACTGGGAGAAAACTGAGCTTGACCACTGAGGCATCAGTGTCCTTCTAACAAGAAGCTTCTTGGCCTCATCCTTCACACCAGGGGCCGGCATCCCTGGCTGTCCCACGCCCCAAGACTAGGTGAGCTCCCCGTCTTGTTTCCGTGCTGCTTACTGGCCTTGGGCACTAAGGTTCCCCTGCACGCATCAGCTCTGCCTTGAAATAAACCCTGTAATTCACTGCCATCACATCTCCTCCTAGCTAGTTTATAAGAGACATATGAGCAGGGTTAAAACTAAGTTATTCCTAAGTGCATGTCCATTCCTTACAATAGTACTTGGAAATAACACATAACTAATACACACATGTGCAAGGACTGGGATTTTAAAAAGAAAGAAAAGGAAGT